TCGAGGCGAGCCGTGGCCCGGCAGGGGGAGGGGAGCGAGATGCGTCTTTGTTGTTGGGAGACCGGGATCCCACTCGGCGCGGGGAAAGGCGGGGAGTCCCTCCCGATTTGGGGGAGGGTTCTCCAGGGGACTCGGGGGAAGGGAGAGGGAGAGGAGGGTCCGAGTGGTGGGCGAGGCGGCGGGAATCGGGGGGCCTGGGCGAGACCGACCCGGGGGTGGGAAATGTCTGAGGATCCCCCTGGCCGAGAAGGTCTCCTTTCCCCGCCTTTGCGTTTCTAGCCGCGGACGGAGAGATGAGGCCAGGTTCGCGGGGAGATTCGCGGAGCCCGAAGGCTTTCTCCCGAGTGTCCTCGCGTGTCAGCCTCGGTGAGAGATCGAACCTGCCAGGTCCCCGGGGGTTTGCGAATTGCGGCCGGGCCGCGGGGTTCCTGTTCTCGAGGCGGGTGACCCGGACTCTTGCCTGTTTGCGAACTCTGGGGTGGAGTGGGGAGGAATTTTGCATCGGAAAATTGGAGCTGATGTTTGGGTTGTTTTGCTTTTTAATCCTGAAACGAAAGTTCTTTTCAAGTTAGGTTGTATTGTTGTGAAGGGCTTTTTGTAAAGAGAATTGAACCCAGCTTCTCGTGTAAAACAAAAATGTTCATGATGGTCTAGGCTAGGGTGAAATTTCTGGCAATGCCAGAGCATAGTTTGTTTTAGACGATGCTTTGTTGTAAGTCGGTGTGAGGTGGATTTGGTAAGGCAAGGGATGAATAACGGGATACAGGGAGGATGGTCTTTAAATTTTGGATGTGTATGAAAAGATGTTACTGTTTAATACTTGATCCACAAGATGAGTCATTGATTTTTAAGGCTCCGATTAATAAAATGAATTTTGGATATCTTCTGCCAGCATTTGAAGCCTACTGGGTCTGAGTAAAAGTCAGGTACCTGTTGTAATAGTATTCATCTGTTTAACAGGAAGACGTAAAAGGAAATGAACTCTTCTCCATAAAGAGTTTGTCTCTTTATATATTTATAGCATAAATGGGTGATATGTCTAATATCTAATAATTACCAGTGTTTTGATAGTTATCATAATTGCAATGTTCTAGTTGGGTACTGCCAACTCTTTGCTCGTTGGTTAATTTCTATTTTTGGAGTAGGGGTAGTGGGTTACTTGAACAGTGGACATAGCCACGTTTCCACTAATAAAAAATATAAACTCCCTGTTGTGTAATATTGCTATGTTTGAGATCCAGGAGGAAATGGATAGCACCCTCATCCATATGTTGACCTCTCTTTTCTCTTACTGTAGTATTAATGAGGTTAATTGGCAAGGATGGGATTAGATTTTTACCAGACAAGGCAGTTCTAATTTTGTCCCTTACTGTATGGTACTGTAGGTAAGTGGCTTGTTTTCTTGAGTATTTTTGCCCATTTTGAAATGTGCATGAAATAACATCTGACAAAGAATTTTCTGTATCCCTGTGACAAAATAATGTTTTGGTTGCCTAATGGACACAGAAGAACTAGGCAATTAGTGTCTGTTCCAAGTTCTGTCACTGAATTGGTCTACAGGCCAGCTACCCACAACTGAGTCAGTTTCTTCATTTGTAATATAGGGCTAATAAAACATGCCACCTGCTCGCTTTATAGTAAGGGCAATAAGAATCAACAGTTACTTTGGTGTGTGACAGATTGTTTCATTTAAATAGTACTTTTTAGTGCAGTTCTCTTATTTTGTTTTGGTGTTGTGAATTTCAATTTCTTGGTGAAGAATTGGCATAAAGTAGTTATATTAGGGGGAATGCCTATCTATCATGCCTTAGGAATTTATACTAGTAGACATAAAGTTTCTTCCATGTTAAGATTGGTTATATCTTTAGAGTTAGTGATGACAAGAAAAGAGAGTGACAAATTAACTTGGTTGGCTTATTTACTGATAGATTTTATTTGTAATATATCCAAAGATTGCTCTTAATGCTCAAAAATTATGCCTGCCTTTCCTACCCTGTTAAAAATTTTTCACTTACATTGCTCTATTTGCCTCTCAACCAGCTTTGTGAGTGAGAGGGGAAAAGCGATGTCATATACAGGTGGAATAAATACCAGAGTACTTAATTATTCAAATTGCCTAAAGCCACACAATTTGTAAGATGCAGAATTGAGACCTGAAGCAGAGTTTTCTGACATCTATTCCTAAGTCCTTTCCTCAGGAGCAGTGTTTTTCAAACACTTGGCTGGCCCAACAGTTTTTGCCAATTCAGGTGAAATGACAAATAATATAGCAATATAAGTATTGGCAACACACAATATAATCAATATCCATGCATCCATTACCAGTTTGAAGAAATAAAACTGCAAAACAAAATGAAGGTTTCTCATAGTACTTTATATACCTCCTACACCCTTTTCCTCATTCCTCACCACTGACCCCAAATTGATACGCATCCATCCTATCCATGTTTATACTTTACTTCCTACCTTTACATCCATGAACATTATATAGTTTTTCTTTGTTTTAAGACTATTCAAATATGATGATTGTATCTCTAGCTTCACTCAATTTGCTAAAATTTATTTGTGTTTATTCAGGTAGTTTTAGTTTCTTTATTTGTACTGCAATATGGTATGTGTTCCATTATGTGATTATATCAAGTTTTTGTTGGTTATTTTAGTTTTTGCACTTGTTTGCTTATTAAACAGTCTTGTGGGGAATATTCTTTTATATATTTACTTAGGGCAGTGGTTCTTGACCTTATATCTCATTTTTATAGACATGTTTTGTAACTTCCCCAATACCAGGTGTACGGGTAATAATGCGGATTTTGTAATCAAAGAAAACACGATAATTTTAAGAGAAACATCAAAAGTGATTTATTCAAAGTAATGTCCATCACTAGCTACACATTTCCCCCATCTTTCAGGTAATTTGTGGAAACTGTCCCAATAGAACTTTTCTTGTTTAGAGGTAAACTATTCAAAGACCCAATTTTCCACTTCTTCGTACGTTTTGAAGTGCTGCTCAGAAAGTGCGTGTGACATCAATCAGAACAAGTGGTAATCTGAAGGAGCAAGGTGTGGTGAATATGGCGGGGGGGG